GAAATTCCCCTAGTATGCATGGAAATTTCCCTAACAGTATGAGGTGACCAGGATGTGATTTCCATTCAGTGATAGCCCCTGCTCTTCAAGAGCAACTGAGCAAAAGACTTAATACTCATCAAAAGTATCTGTTTGAGGAATGGAGAGACCTCTATCCTGAAGAGCCTGAACTTTCAGCTTCTCTGCTTCCAGCTTGGTCTGCTGTTCCACCCTTTGTTTTTCTAGGATTTCTTCAATAGACATTTGTTGGAGGGGTGTGTCACTGTCCTTTTCCAAGTCTATTTCTCCTAGTAGGACCACATTTTCTCCTCTGACCACAAAAATCCCTTGAGGAATATCACCGTATTTTTTGTCCACATGAATACGTTCCACAGTCTGATGTAGCACTAAATTAGCAAATTGATCGATGCTTCTTTAAAAGCCTATAAGTGTTCTTCCATCTCGAAGCAGGACCAAGTGTTTTTTGTCGATGTCCTCCATGTCCTCCATGCCTAGTGGTGCCGGGCATATAGTTTATTTTGAACTGAAATAAGGCTGCGATGTATAGTGGTGGTGGGCCAATTGCGTTCCAAACTTCCTTCCTCCTACCGCAGTCGCCACCTTGGCGGGACTGGGACAGGAATCCAGACCGGGACTAGCACTTCTGCCCCGACTTTCAGTCACCAAGGCCTACCGGAAACTCCTCCGTATTACCTTCACCTACTTCCGGTATCCATCTGACAAGGATTTTAAAACAGCCATCATAAAAATGCTGTGACAAGCAACTGCAAACATGCTTGAGACCAATGAAAAAGTCTTAGCAAAGAAAAACAGATATAAAGAAGAACAACAATTTAAAAATTTTACAACAAAAATATACAATAACAAAATTAAAAACTCAACAAATGGACTCAACACGAGGATAGAGAGGACAGTGGAAAGAATCAGAGAACCTGAAGGTAGAACAATAGCAATTACTCAGTCTGAACAGAAAATAGGCTGAGAAAAGTGAACACAGCCTCAGGAACACGTGGGAGTAAAACCAAAAATCTAGCATTCATGTCTTCAGAGTACAAGAAGGAAAAAAAAAAAAAAGAGGGTTGGGTGGAAAAAGTATTCAAAGAAATAATAGCTGTAAATTTACCAAATTTGGGGGAAACAATAAACCCATAAATCTAGGGATTTAAGAAGCGGAACAAGCCACAAACAAACCTGAAGAAATGAACACCAACACACACCATAATCAAACTTCTGAAAACTAAAGACAGAAAAAATCTTGAAAGCAGCCAGAGTAGAAATAGCCCATTACCTAAGGGTAAAAACAACTCAATGTCAGCACGTTTCTTTTCAGAAACCATGGGGGCCAGAAAGAAGGGACACAACAGTGCTGAAAGAAAAATGCTGTCAACTCCCCCTCAAATTCTATATCCAGCAATATCCTTCAGAAATGAAGGAGAAATCAAGATATTCTCAGATAAAGGAAAATTAAGAGTTTGTTGCCAGCAGACCTGCCCTAAAAGAGAGGGTAAAGGAGGGACTCTGTATCTGATCTTAGCCAAGAGGCCGAGAAGCAATAAAAGGAAGGACTAAACAGGAAGGAAATGACAAAAGAAGAAATGGATTCTCAGGTAGGAAAAAAGAAGTAGGTAATAGCAAAAATATAGGCAAATACAATAGAATTTTCTTATATTGAGTTTTCTAAATTATATTTGATGCTTGAAGCAAAATTTACGTTTCTGTCTAACGTGATTCTCAATGTATGTAGAGGAAATATCTAAGACAATTATATTAATAAATAGTAGAGGGCAAAAGGATGTAAAGAGATAAAGTTTCTACATCTCACTCAAACTGGTAAAATCACAACACCAGTACACTTTGATAAGTTATCTATATAAAAAGTAATAAGTAAAATAACCACTAAAAATGATATTAGAAAGATACACTCAAAAATACTATAGATAAATAAAAATACAATTCTTATTCTTAGATTACC